AATATTTTGTAAAATTGATAAAACCATGCATTTGTACATATTCCCTATAATATATTTACATATAAAACAATTTATAAATTTTTTCAATATAATACAATTATAATAAATATATAAATACAATGTATATTCATATATTTATTAATTTTATATATAGTTTGAAATAATGATTTTACTTGTAGATAAAGTTGCTGCTCTTCAATTGAGAGTTTTAAAAACCAAATTATTATTAGATATAAAGGTGGATGACAATGCATAAAACAAAATTTTATAATGTTTTAATAGGGTCAAATCTATTTGATAGTCAACGATTTATTAGGGATCCAAAAAAATTTGTGTACCATTGATCAGTTAAATCAATTGATTGGTGAAATTTAGTTTCATTGATAAACAGTTTCAAAATTTTTAATGTTAGTATATATTATAGGTCAAATTATGTTCTTTTTTTCTAATGTTATTTGCAAACTTTAGGGTCAAGTTACAGTATATATTAAACTTAACTTTGGTCTGGATCAAATTATATAACAAATAGAAATTTTGTTACTGGCCTATCTATGAAGTTTGCGGGACCTGTTATAGTAGGTTGTAAAATCACAAATTTGATCAAAAAGACCTTGGAGGTCCCAAATGATTCACATTACCAAATTTTGATCCTGAAATCTTTGGTAGTACAAATGTTTGTTCAGTATATTTTGAGTAGAGGTTGCACCCAATGAATAATATTCAGTGAATTGGATATTTTTGATTTTTTCATTGACTGATTGAAAAATATAAATGAATATTCACCAAATAACTAATAATATATTGTGTAACTGAATTGAAATGAAATCTTGTGTCAAATTTAATTCATATAATTCATTAAATTTAAAACGGAAGAGGAGCCTTCAATTACTATAATAGGAGAAAGTGATAATACAATAATGAGAAGGGAAGAGCCTTCTGCTGCTCATATGTTGAAGGAAAGCAAGGTTCTAAGAAGTCAAGTTGGATATGGAACTTGATGAAAGAAACTGAAATTGTGAAAGATGGAGAAAAATCTAAGGAGCTATTTTTCAAGTCAATGTCTCTGAAGTTTCTGATATTATTGTTCATTGTAATGTTGCAGTATGTGGTGGTGAATCTACATCTAATTATATTACACATACAATGGCCTCAAAAAGAACAAAACCTAATCCACTTTTTATTTGAAAAGGTTGTTTTTTTTGAAAAAAAAGAAAGATGGTTCTGATAGAATGTAAAATAATTAAATAAATTTAAAAAATTTCTGTTAACAATGAATATTCATTGAATAAATAAATAATTTAATGATTGTACAACTTCTATTTTCGAGCGCCTCATAAAAATCAAATCCCCTGCTTCATACATTTCACGAATTAATTTCTATAATAATAATAAAATGCCAGTTGCAAAGATAGCACCCTCAATGCTTTCTAGCGATTTTTCGCAACTAGCAAATGAATCTGATCGAATAATCAAAGATGGCGCTGATTGGTTACATATGGGTACATAAAAAAATAAGAATTACTATTTTTAATGTATTATATAAAACTGTTAACAAACATATGCTATTTATTATTAAAGATGTGATGGATGGGTAAATTATATTTACTTATTATTTTTATTTGGCATTATACAATCATTAAATTGAATTAATTGTATAACAAATGATTAAATAAAGACACTTTGTTCCAAATATTACTATTGGTGCTCCAGTTATTCAATCTCTTCGTAAGCATACAAATGCATTTTTAGGTGAGAAATAATAAATTGTGTATGTAAATTTAATATGAATGCAATTGATTGATTGACTTTTTAATTATACAGATTGTCATTTAATGGTTGATAATCCTGGAAAGGTTTATTTTTTAATTTTTTGAAATAATATAATAATAATAATAATAATAATAATGATAATAATATTTATTGCAGTGGGTTGATGATTTTGCAAAAGCTGGTGCATCTATGTTCACCTTTCATATAGAAGCAATGGAAAATCCTGAAGATATTATTGATAAAATTCATAAAGCTGATATGAAAGTTGGAATTGCCATAAAACCAAAAACTCCAATAGAAGCTATATTTCCATTTGGTGACAAGATTGATATGTGTTTGGTAATGACTGTTGAACCAGGTTTTGGTGGTCAAAAATTTATGCCTGAATGTATGTCAAAAGTAGGTGTTATTATTATTTTGATATTATTATTTATTGTTATATAAAATAAAACAAATTATAATAATAATAATGACAGGTAAAAACATTAAGAGAAAAATTTCCTGAACTTGACATTGAAGTTGATGGAGGTCTTGCTCTTGATACAATAGATCAAGCTGTTGAAGCAGGTGCAAATGTTATTGTTGCTGGGACTTCTATTTTTAAAGCACAAAGCCCCAAAGATGTGATTTCTACTTTTAGAGAGAAAATCAATGCTGTACAAATTAAATCTTGATTATTTGTTGTAGTTTTATTAGTGATGTGATTTTTTATAAATGACTTTGTTATTTAACATTTTTTAATAAAAGAAATTAGGCTATTTATCACTTTTCATTATATATTTATAATTTTTTGCAAGAATTGATGTTATGTAGTTTTTTTTTTAAATTTATTAGTAAATAAATTTTTAAAATTTTATTTGCATGAATTTGTTAAAACTCCCTGACTAGGATTGGATCCTTTCAATATTGAGAGAGTGTTGTCCAAGTATATATATTTTTACTAAAAATGACTTAGTTTAGAATATATTTGACTTAGGCCATTGGAAGATTGGAAGGGATTGGAAGCTTGTACATCACCAATATTATTGACCAACCCAAAAACCAATCACGTGATAACTCGAGGACCAATGGTCACATTGGAATAACATGACTTGGCTTTTTGTTTGTAAAAGTATGTTTGTGTAGTTCTTCTGTTTATAATTTTTCATGGCAGCCAATACAAACAGCACATGTAATGTAATTTTTATTTATTTTTTTGCCTAATGCTTTAATATATCTTGTCAGATGATGGTTTTTTGGTTTATCATGATTGGTTTGATGAAAATTTGAGAAATAATTACAAATTTATTTTCCACAGTTAATTACAGTTTACTCTCTCTATAACGGATCTTTCTATAACGGATCTTTCTCTATAACGGACAAAAAATTCTGGCCCAATTTTTTACTATTTAAAACCTCCTTCTATAACGGATTTTATTAGTTAAATTTTATATAATGTATAACAAACAGCACCCCGAAAACATTCTATATAAATCCCTCTCTCTATATCGGATTCACGTGATTTCAAAACTAAAATGCAGATCTTGAATCATATAGTCATTATTAGATCACTATACAAATTTCAAATAATCCCTTAATTGTTAATTAATAAAGAAATCAAAAATTGATGATGTTATTGCCAAGCTAAAATAACGTCAATATTATTTTACATGTAAATAAATTATAACATGTCATTGTGGTGTTGAATTATGTGTTTAGATTTTACCTTTTTTTTTACCTAATTTTTGTATTAATTCAATTTTTAAATTTTCATTAATCAAACCTAATTCATATCAAATTGATTCATTTATTATCTATTCTGTTTTATTATTTATTTAAAATGTCATTAAATAAGAGAAAATCCTTAACAGCCTTGATAAAAAGAGATATTTGTTTGGCAAAACAAAAAACTCCAATCCCAACAAATAAAGAATTAGCAACAGCTTTTGATATTAGTACAAGTACAATTAGTGATATTTTAAATGAAAAAGATAAGTGGCTTTCCATTAACCCAGAATCCTCTGATGCTACTAAGAAAAAAAGGAGAATCTTGATATATGAAGAAGTTGATCAAGCATTAACTATTTGGACAGAGAAAGCTATTGGTGCAGAGTTAGACATTACTGGTGATATATTGAAAGAAAAAGCAATACACTTTGCCCAACTTCTTGATATTAATGACTTCAAAGCATCAGAAGGATGGTTAACAAAATTCGTATACAAAACAAGGTGAAGCTAATAATAAATTTTTTTTTATTCGTTAACTTATAATCATGTGATGATTGACAAAATTCTCTATACCGGATTCTCTCTATAACGGATCTTTTTTCCCCAGCAGTCACAGGACATTTTCCGCCGATCTATAGGAGGTTGTATGGTGCAAGTCACCTAGTCCCGCAACTTGCTGCGCCTCGTGGCCAATTTTGGTAAAAATCACCAAAACTCAGAATTGTAAGTTATGCTCAAAAATGCAATAAAATTTTTATATCACGTGACCTTTAATGGTGATACAAATTAAAAAAAAATATTTTTAATAATGTTATAACCACTGTTCGAAATTCAATCGGCGGAATCGGCGCGCACTAACCAAATATGGAAATTAACCGCAGATAATTTCTAAA